CCAGAGTCACGTAGATGACTTACTAAAGTATACTTTTATGCTACTTTCTTTATCAGTGGACATTCTTCAAAATTTCACCTCTTTCCACAAAAAAAATATAGTCATATGAATTTGAAACATTAGGGTAAGTACATTTTCATTTTTGGAGAGGCATGTTAATGCTAATGCATGCTAATAGAATGGAGAATGAATACATTATTTAAATATATTCTTGTGTCTTACTTGGACGCACAGACAGACTCACTTTGTGCAGGAGGGAAGAAGACCTCTGAAGTGGGGCTGGTCTTGGTCCACTTGTATTCTGGTGCAGGTTTACCATCATCAGAGTTACAAGCCAGAGTGATGTTCCCTTTAAGAACAGGCCTTCCTTTAACTTGACAAACTGGCACTGAAGGAGGGACTGAAAGAGACAGGATGGGTTATGTGATGTTAAATCCAGAAAACGCTGGCCTGTGTCACAGAACAAGCATCTGACATGTACACATGCATGTGTGTTTTATGACTATGCATGTGTGCACCACAATGTGGCAGTAAGTACAAACCTTTAACATTAAGGGTGAGCTCTCCGGTGAGTCCTGGGACGCCCGGGATAATGACCTGGCACATGTACTTCCCTGAGTCTGATGCTTTGGTGTTGTTAATGTACAGGGACAGGTTGGTGTTGGGCATACTATGCATAAAACCAACTCGACCTGCAAACTGGGAAGTGCTATGACTTAAGCCTCCACTGACGTATGAGATAATCTAAAGAAAGACAGAGAAGAGGGTGGAGGGCATTAAAATTGCAAATGGGGTATGAATAGATGATAAAAATTCAGGAGGTTTAAGGTGAAATATTTTTCACAATACACAGGTATATTTATTCATTACATTTTATTAACACACACACACACACACACACACAAAAATCCCTTTCAATAAATTATTTAATAAATGATTGAAAATATCAACATATTAAATAAGTAAATATAAACAGATGGGAGTATTAATATATAAACAAACAAATGTTTGTACATTTCTGATACTAATGAAATATACTGCAAAAACTGCTTAGGCAAGCGGCTGGAAATTTCTAAACCACTGTGTAAAAACACAATTTAAAAAAATGGAATTATGTAAGATCGTCAATCTGTTAGAGGCAGGGACAGAATTTCTCAGTGGACAGGTCTAAAGGATTCATATCAGCTGATTCCTCAGTGTGCAGATTTAATCTCAACTGAAGAAAATGCAGGATAGAGGATTTTACAATCTGTAGATAATACGGTTTCTTACAGAGTAATGAGGTGCTGTGTAATGCAAAATGAAAGACAATTGCTGGCAAGAGTGGACATTTCAATCACAGTATTATACTAGCTCTTAAGGTAAGATGGTCTGAGCTTGCAGGTAATATGAGATAGTAGTCTGCTATGATGATTCACATGACTTCTTGTACTTTCAATATGGTTAACACAAAAAACAAGTGATTCTGTGATGAAGACATTTGTCGACATTTGATCAACATTATATAACTGAATTAAAACAAAAACTAAATTTCCATATAAAAAAGTGATCATTTTTAAGACAAATTTTTTTTTATAATCAGTCCAGAATAATATTTCTGTCTCTGCCATTCATAATCCAAATCATAACATGCACAGACGGTGCTAAACTTTCTGGCATCTGCACAAAAACTAACGAATGAATATAATCCCACCCATAATACCATACCATTTCGAAATCTAATTTGGACTGACATAACATTATCAGAATTCATTATAAATCTCTGCTGAATCCATTCGGCGTACTGCACTGGAAAAATGAGGAGCGGGATTTCGTCTGTGTGCACTCTTGACCTCTGGAACTCAAGAGCCTGAGTGATCAGGGACAGAGAGTGACATTACATCAGCTGCATTTCATGTTACGTTCTGAACCACCATGAGAAAAATTGAGATTTTTATGAAACTATGAAATTAGATTGAAAACAGCCAATATATGCACAAGACCCAAGATACTGCACTCTTTAAATTGCTCAGCAACCTAGTTAATTAACTATATTACTTATTACTGTGTGATTATTAGCATTCATATTTCATAGTTTACAGAGTATTATCTTTTACAACAATACTTTGTCTCTCACTTATTCCATCAAAAAGAGCTTGATAAATACCTTAATAATAATAATTATTATTATTAAGGGATTATTGCAATTATTTATTATCTTAATTATTACTTGTTTATTACTTGCTAAAAACACTTTATATGGGACTTATTGCTTATTTTTTATCATTATTTCTTGTGTTCATCTTATTTTACCATTTTTAGCTATTTATTTAATCCAGTCAAAGTAGCTGACTAGGTATGATTTAAATCAATTAAAGCAACAAATAACATGTTCATGTTTTAAGACCAAGATTTTAGGGTGTTATAGGTATATATAACATTTGTAAAAAAAAAAAGAAGGAATTATTTATTTACAAATAATTGTTTAAGTTTTTTGCAGTTCACTTAAGTATTTTTACAGTGTGACAAATAAATTTGTATTAAGTATAAATATTCAATGCTGTCTCTCAATTAATAAAAATAAGAATATACTGTATATATATATATATATATATATATATATTATTTTTTAAAGTCATTTCTTATTTAAAACTATTTATTTTAATTAAATAGTTTGTTTTTTAATTTAATTGATTTTTATTAACTATTATTTAACTTTTTTGCAGTTAACAAGTATTTCTACAATGTGACAAATAAAGTCATATTAGTTGTATTAAGTATAAATATTCAATGCTAATTAATAATAATAATAAATGTTATGAGTTGATAAAATTAATAATCATAATTCTGAAGTGGAAAAATATTTTTAGATGAAGTATAGCATGTCACACTGCAGGACACTGCTGTCTCTGTCAACACAAACAACGAAAAACAACCAATAAGAAAGACAGTCACCATTTCTGTGCTGCTGGACATGTAGTTCCATACCACTGTATTTTTCTCAATCTCCACACCAGTGTAAGAAGCCTGCAGCACTACCATCTTCCCTTTGATCACTTCTACATTTTTCTGAGGCAGCTGAAGTTGGGCCAGGTCACCTGGAAAGATAAAGAGAGAAAGCATAAATCGCTTAACAACCTCAAAAACACGAAATATTTCCATTCGACCCAGCTGACAGCCTACAAGTCCAGGTGCACTCATTTGAAACCCCAATAAAATCTCAGAAACATTCAGGAGTGACATACACTCCCCCAAGTGGAGGTAAACAAGCTGAATCCAGCTGTCCTGGTTGTCCGTTTGATCCGCCAGCTTGGCCGGGATGCTTCGAAACAAATACGTGCCACACAGAGACTCATAAGAGAATCTGCTTCTAAAATCCTCTTGTCACTTATGATTTCAGATGAAAGTCCGCAGGGAGAAAAACTGGGTGACGCAACCGCCGAGCATCTTGTTTTAGGCTTAGCAGAAGGTACGAGGGAGGGAGAGGGACATTCACAGGCCCACTGCAATGAGCCTCAATGCCACGCGTATGTTGAATTCCCCTTGCTTAAGTGTAAACCCACTAATCCTCAACTAGAATCCTGTTTGTACTCATCTTTTAGACATTTTCTTCTGCTTTATGTTTGCGGGCTGGTCTTTAACCTGATTACAAACTAGCAATGATAGTCAAATTGCTTCCATTGACTCACCAAATAAAGCCATCGCTCAATTCAGAAATTTAACCCATATGTGGGACAGGATCAAACGCTGAATTGCATTATGAAAGTATAAAGGAATTAATCTGCTGTCAAGGAAAATCTTGATCAACATTTAATCTTAGAGGTCAAAGGGGAAAATAGATTTCTGGTAGTGTCTCTTCCAGATTTATCTTGCAATCAGTGTCAGTTCTATTGTTTACCAAAAGAAGAAAAATATCTCTTAATCCAGTTCTCCAGTCTGCCCCCATCTGTCGCGGTCACGGCAGTGATCCAAAGGCCATACCCTGAACTGGTTCCAACTAGACTGTGAAACACTTCTCAGAGTGAAAGATTTATAAACAAACATACAGAGAGGACAGGCAACATGATATAATGACACCACACGTGATGTAGTCTTTGTGTATGTGTGTGTATAAATTAATTATTTTAATTTTAGGATAATCTTTATTACTTCTAGTCTTTCTATTGTTACCGAATTGAAAACTAAAAGTCCTTGGTAAATAAAAATGATTGATTTCTTTAAAAAAACAAAAAGAAAACCTTACTGACCCCAAACTTTTGAACGATAACAAATATTAAACATTCTTGATAAGTATTCATGTCTTTCAAATTCTCATTAAATTCATTTATTTTGTAATTAAAACATATAATTACCAGCTTTCTAGCAGGAACACTAGCACTTTAAATCAATAATATACAAATGTTCATTCACAATAACACAAACTTCTAGAACATTTTCCATAATCTGCATGCTAGGGTACCATACAAAGCATGCTAAGCCCTAAGCAGCTTAGAAGTAATGCTTAAAGACAGAGACAGAGAAAAAAAACATATTTTGCATGAACTTTTAGAATAAGAGTTTGACCTTAAACTGTATGCCTGCCTGCATACCAGTAGAGGTCAGCAAATGCTATGCAATAAACTCAGTCATTATACAGTAAATAAGAACATAAAAGTACACAAAAAATATGGTGTTTTGTGCACTTCACTACTGAAAATCCTTCATTCAGGACTTATGATATTCAATGATTTGTGCAGTCAGTCTATGTTTTCAATGCATCTATCATCACTGTGTTTTTCTGCATCTACCAAAGCAGAGATCCTAATTCATTAGGTGCATTACCCAGCATTCCCAAGTCTTCTCCTCATCTCTAGATCGCTCTACTAAAGCCTCAACAAGAGATTAAACTAGTAGCTGACGGTAGGGAACAGTAGGGAACCTGGGTTAGCATCAGCCTTTCTCATTAATAAGAGCACTTTTGGGAGTGTTTTCTCTCTTGTGAACACAGAAGCTGCGTCCGAAATCGCATACTTCCATACTATTGCTGCCATCAAAGGTTTTGAGTAAGTAAACAAGTTATGTAAAATGTGCTTTTATTCAGGTGCTGTTGACACTGAACGTAGTAAATACTAACACTTCAAGCAAAGGTCTTACTGCCTTCTTTTTATGCTTGATTTCTGTGCATTTATTGTGACAGAGCAGGGACTTGAGGGCAAAATTTCTGCTGCTCAAGTCAAAAGAAAGTGGGAGAACCTAAAACAAAAATATAAAGTAAAATTTTTTTTTGTAATTAGTTAACCCCAAAATTTTTATTAGTTCATGATTTGATCATGTTAATGTTTTTCCATGTCATAGTAATGCAGTAATCTAATGAATGTAATTGACTGTCTTGATATTGTGCTTTTCAGACCCGGGATATCCAACAAAGATATCGAGGAACTTCCCCTCGTGGTCGGTGATGGCCTGCAGCTGAACAGAGTGGAACAGCTTCCTATTACAATAGCATGGGGCATCACTTGCTGGTGGCTTGATCCGGATGTGGCATCCGTCTATTGCACCAGCTACCATGTTACCTATACAGACAGAATAAATTCAGACATAATGTAACTAAAATTAAAATAAGTAACAAATACAAATAATACAAATCAAATGACAGTAGTTTATCAGTAATCCTAAAAAATCAGTGATCTGCGAGCAGCTAGAAGCCTCCTCTGAGCTGTTGATCCAATCAAGGTTAAAACGCGATGAAAGCGGTAAGAATAACGTGAAACATTGCTGATGTTCGCGCAGTAGTGCGGGCTCTTTAAATTTTGGCGCTGTTGTGAAGACGCATGTCACGTGACAACATCAACATGGCGGATGTAGTACGTCCGAATTCCATTCATACTACTCTCATTCATACTATATAGAACGTACTTTTTTAACGGTCGAGTAGTACGTTCAAATTCAAATGTAGTACCTACTAAGTAGTATGCGATTTCGGACGCACCCAGAGTGTCTCGGATCCACATAAGGATCTTAGCAGTGTTTAAATTCTCCTATTAAAGCAGCACTATGTAACTTTTGGCACTCTAGCAAGATGAATTCATGATGTACTCGCTCATTATATACATTTAGCAAATTTTGAACAGAAAAAGTTACATAGTGCTGCTTTAAACTCACTTATTGGAAGAGCAACCTCAAACAAACATGAAGCTCTTTATAAGCCACAGGAGGAAAGCATCTGTGCTGCGGATGTGATGTTAAGGTTAATGTGCGCTAACCAGTGACCAGTTCAAGTGAATGTCCACTGGTCATTTAAGGATGATAAATGATTCCTCTGGGAAATGTTTAAGGGATTTTTCTGTTTTACTGTGAGAATGACAGAGGGAACAAAGCGGAGAGACCATTTCCTGAATCTTCAAGCGTAATACCATCACAACATCTTCTGATTTAGCTCCTAATGACAAGACATTCCAGTACTGTCCCAATCCCATCAGCCTAATGAGCCTGCAAATGATTTCTGGCAAGTCCTCCAAATCGCACATTTGTGAACACAAATGTTTTCGCTGATGCAAATGTGCTTTTGTTTGTTCAGTTGTGAACCCCAGAAAGGTCTGAGGAAAGCTCTGAGGACAGGTATGGGCAATGAGAAGAATACGTGGAAAGAGAAAGCAGCTCATGTCAAGTCAAATATTGAATACAGACTTTTAAATTGAAGACTAATGAGAAGAAGAATAGTGTTATAAATCTTCTCAAATCATTCCCATGGGTCTGATCTGAATAATATATGCTACTGAGTGGCATGAAGTCAGAAAAGAGATGGAAATATCATCAGTTAGAGCCACACATGCTGGAGAGGTAATGAGGTGTCATCAACCAAAAACTCATCCAGTAAGTCACCAGTAATGGCCACAAAAAATTGGAATAGTGACCACACACACACACACACACGTGTGTACAAGGTTGCCCATTAAAACATAGCATTAACAGCACCAGCTATACAACAAAGATGCACAAAGTACAGTGTCGGTATATAAATATTCACATGTCCTGCATTTTTATGTTAAGCAAAACAGACTATGTACATACAAAATGACATTCAGACATTAAATAGATATAATACAAATAAACCGTACACTTGCAGACTACCATTCATAAGTTTCAGGTCAGTAAGATGTTTTTTTAAAGAAATTAATAGTTTTATTCAGCAAGGATGCATTTAATTGATCAAAAGTGATCATATAGGCCTATTTTAAATAAATGCTGTTTTTTTAACTTTCTATTTGAATGCTTAAATAAAAATTGAAAAAAGAAAACAAAATATTAAGCAGCAAAACTGTTTTTAACATTAATAATAATACAAATCTTTCCTGAGCACCAAATCTGCAAATTAGAATGATTTCTGAAGGATCATGAGACACTGAAGACGGGAGTAATGGCTGCTGAAAATCCAGCTTTGCCATCACAGGAATATAGCCGTTTTTACCACATTTTTCATTAAATAAATGCAGCCTTGATAAGCATAAAAGACTTCAAAAATATTTTTTTAAATTGTACCGATCCAGAACATAACATAAATCAACAAATAAATCAAAATAACATGTATTTCTAATATAACAACACACTTTGGTTATATAAAGACAGAGAAATCCTCACAATTACATACTTGTACTCAGCGAAACTCAAACATATAATGGGACTGCATGTAAATTATCTGTGATATAAGAGCTAGGTTTTTAAAATTAATATTTTTATGTACCGCACCTGTTTAACATCAGCCGAGCCTAAAGTTTCTATGTGGAACATTTTGCTGAAAACCATCTAATTTCTGTGATAAACCCATTATTCTAAAGTGCTGCGCTAACATAAATCAAGACTCTTAGTAATTATGCTGTGCATAGCTTAAGCAAAACAATGGGTTTAATGTCCTTCATGGTCTCAGATATTAACCTTAAAGTGAACAAGAAATCAAAAATTGCCTTATTGTGAAAGATTCACTGAGAAACAAAATGTAATAATGAATCCAAACTGACTTTTCTTTTTGGGTGACAAGACCAAACCCTCTTAATTTTAAATCCCACCCCTCCCAACAACTATGTTACTCACGTAGAGACACTTTTCACAATTCAGTCAAGTCCCGCCCTACATTATCATCTCACTGAACATCCTGTTTCACTCTAAAATATGTCACATTATAAACGTTATTAAAATCATGTTGACTTTAATGTAACTTTCTTGAGGGAATCATGGATAACGTGATTCACGAAGACATGAACATGGCAAGTAGAACACAATGAGAGGTTGCTCCCATGCGTATGCTTATGTGCATGAGGGCATGTTCTAGTACACCCCCAAAACAAAATCAAGACTTTGTAAAAGAGCATAATAGGACCCCTTTAAATAAAGATGTTGATGCTTTTAATTGCAGGAAGAGCACTATTTGTTTTTTTGGAGGTTGGCACTAGGCTCTGATAAAGAGTTCGGGAAAGGCCTTTGATGCATCTGACAGTTTGCGTGGATGCCAAGTATTGGGTGGAGGCCAGAACTTCCTGCACTAACTCGATCTACACTGCAAAGTTACCGTCAAAGCATTCCTGCCCTGGGTCTTCAGTCAGATCTGAGACCGAAGGCCTTTTTAAGATGAGTTAACACCCAAAATTATTACAGATGCTCTGGCAAAATGAGTCAAATGAAAATGACAAATCTAATCTCGACTATAAAGCCTTGATCAGATCAACCCGAGAACTGATGGCCGGGGTGGAGACGTACACAAGTGCACTGCAGATCTGAGAGATTGACTGATGGTTTTCTTCATGTCACTGATAAAACCTTTATGAAGTGGTTTCGTAATGAACACTCTGGATGTGGTAGGGAGGATCTTATTTGTGTGCCTTCAGGGAGAATTGCTATCTGAGGGACAGAATTTTAATATGCAGTGTAAAGGATACCCATTAAAACACAGCAGGGGATGTTTTGCGAGTATTTCTATTTTTTTGTTTTTATTTTTATTTTATTTCCCACACAAGATGCCCTTTTGTTGTCATATGAGAAGAAAACCATTACGCCTTTTACTTGGGTACACCAATTTTTGTATAAAAAAGAAACAAAAGTTATGTTTTTAAGAACCTATGTGTAGTACATGTATAGATTTAAAAGATTTCTTCTTCTAGAACAGGGCTCCTCATTAGGCGGCCCGCGGGCCACATCCGGCCCGTGAGAGAAAAAAGTTTGGCCCCCACTAATTTCAAATAATGTGGTAGGGCTGAACGATTTTGGAAAATAATCTAATTGCAATTTTTTTTACCAATATTGCGATTGCGATTTAATATGCAATTATTTTTTTTAAAGCTCTTTATGTTCTGTATTATTCAACAAAGACAAGCTATAAATCATTGTATAGTATGACTGTAACAACGTTTGTAGGTCGGGAAGAAGGAGGCGGGAACAGGCGAACACTTAAACAAAACTTTAATAATAAAATAAACAAACACAAAATGAAAGTAAAGCGGCAGCCCCTCACGGACGACTGCCACACACAAAACACAAAATAAAGTCCAGGCCTGGTCCTCTCTCGTCCAACACTGTCGTAACAGCTCCTTTTATCCTTCCGGAGCTCCTCCGTGGGACTCGAGACCGGTGAGTGGTGCAGGTGTCGCTCATTATCAATTACTCCACCGGCCTCGCTCCCTTCCCACGGCTCTCGGCCTCGCCCCCTTCCCATGGCTCTCGGCCCCGCCCCCACTCGTCACAATGACCAACACACTATTAGATAGATTAAACATAAATGTTCTTTTCTGTAGGCCAGTCCTACATGTTACGATGAAATTAGGTGATGCATGAATTGATATGAATGACATTTTTATTTAACAACTACAATCACAGTAGTTTGACTGATTTGTTGAACTTCCAACCTTGTAAGCATGTAATAATTATGACAACATAAAGCACTGACAAATAAGCCTGGTGTAAACATTAATATAGAAATATAAAAACAAATCTGTTGCTTTACCACACTACTTCAGGTAATTCAAAGTCACTGTAATAAACA